AGTGCATATAAAAGACAACTCGGAATTTTAAAACGCCGCACGGAATCGGAAGAAGCTGTCGCCGTCAAACACTTTCCATTTTCTCTCGTCCTTACCAATTCACAGTATTAAAGCTAAAAAAAAGGGGGCAGACATGCTTAAAACATATGCATTTTGAATATTTTTTTTCAAAAAGTATGTAAATAATTTGAAGCTTTTAAAAAAAAACCCTGATTTATTTTATTTTTTTTTTTTATTAAACTGAATAGATATGGCAAGAAATGCTGGCAAGGCCATTCATGCATTATGTATGGTGCTAAACCTGCAAATATTTTACTGACACTTCATTCTGCCAGTGTGCATTACTATTTGTTGTGACCAGCAGATGTGTCATGAAGCCATCACACCTCCTTTATGATTCCTGCAGGCATGCGAGTCCTGCTACGGGAGAGAAGTCAAGTCTTGATCCAAACGTTCCCTTTGAACACATCCGCTAGGCTGATGATCATTTATTTCTAATCTTCTATTGCTTCACAAGATACATTAACACATCACACAGCTGAGGAATATAATCTCTGTGAACTAATCCTACATCTGCTAATCCTGCAATTTTAGGCAACGCCTTACTTCAATTCAGTTCGAAAACACGAGGGAAAAATAAATGTTGTAACTGATATAAGGCAAGTTTCTTCAAAGAGTTGCTGTAGATGCTGATGGCTGTGGGCAGGAAATATCTCCAGTAGCAGTATGTTTTACAGCGATTCACTGAATGCCTCTGACTGAAGACATTCTGTCGTATAACAGCCTCATGAAGAAGATACTCTGTAATGTAAATGCCACCGTTTTCACCAGCCTGATTGGTGATCGGCTAGCGCGAGACTTTTCCAAACTGTAAACACATCAGGCACAACGCTACCAGGTTACCAACCCCAGTTGTTCCAAAGTGGAGAATACTACAAGGCAGCTGTTCTTAGTGTCAGTTTGGTGCTTAAAAGTATAAACGCAGAAGCTGTCACAAGCCACCTGGAAAGAAACTGGAAGCCAAGAAAAGATACCACTCCAAAAGTAGGAAATATACCAAAGCGCAGGGCATTCTGGGTAAAACCAACCAATGCAAACAGGCAAGTCTAGCACTAGTGGGAGAAATATCTAGTGATGGTAAAGACAAAAGAGAATTCCTACAGCCGCTAAAATCTGACGCCACTCCGTTTTTGTTTACATTTTACGAAGAAGGAAGTTGCAATCAGAGTCTTGGAGACTTTTGTGTTGTTTCCTTCATCTGTGCAGCGCCACCATAGGTAAGAGTTGAGCGGTTTAGTTTGCTTATAGATGCAGTGTGAAAGCGAATCTCACAAGTTGAAAATGGAACAAATTTGGTCCCCAATTGAATCGACTATACTGGACTACCAGGGGTGAAAACACCCTAAAATACTAGGATCGATTTTTTTTTTTTTGTTTAAAAAAATGTGTTAACACCTTATTATAACAGCATGAATGTCATAAAAGTTTGAATGCTGTTCCTATATCCGCTTATATTACAGATTTACAAGAGAAAATGGTCAAAGACTGATCAGAAATGGACCAGGAACCTGTGATCTGCTGGTGCCTGGATGTCCCTGTTGAGAAAGTGGACTGAAATCTACTTGCTTGCACAAACAAGTTTCTGACATGCTGATCTGAACTGATTTACATCAGCAGTTTGCATTATATTGATGATGCAGCAAGCAAACAGCTTAACTAAATGTTTATGATGCCCAGGACTGCTTGGGGAAAAAACAAAAAAACAAAAACATACACTAAATAAAATCAATAGGAAATACATTTTGTGATCAATGTTTGACATAAATGTCAGTTCCATAAACTTCTTACGAGCTGCTGAGTTTAAAGAATGACTGGAGACTTTGACTCGGGTTCAGTGTGTGTCTCCTTCTGTTTTACCTTCTGCTTTGTACACTTGAACTGTTTGCTTCAGCAGCAGAGATGTCAGCTTTGATTTCTCTTTCTCTCTTTAGGTTTTATTGAGTTTTTCTACTTAATTCACTGTTTCATCACTGATCAATGTTTTATCACTCTTATCTTGACAATTGTCTAACCTTTTTCCCCCCTCAGAGAACCCCTGAGGTTTACTAGGTGTAAAGAAAAAAAAAAAAAACCCCCCCACCCCAGAATGCTCTGAATGGCTGGCCACAATTTATGCCTCTTGGACGTCGAGCGCTTTTCCTCGGCACTGTTTATAAGCGGGAGTGTTTCAGAGAGGCTGTGTACAGTGAGAAAAAGATTCACATCTTCAGACTAAGGATGCTTTCTCCTATCTTCCCGAGGTGGGACACTAGTCAATATTTAGCCCGAGGTTATTTAATTTAGACAAGCAGTTTGATTCATACATTAAAATTTCCAATTACCTGTCAAGAGTTGAGCGAGCCCCGAGGAGGCTGTTTTAATCATACAGCTTTATCAAACTCTTTAAATTGAGTTTAACGGGGGATAGGATCAAACATTCTGCCTCAGGGAAGGTGATATCCCTTAATTTGGTGAAAATAGTCAACATTTTTGAAAATCCATGTTTGACTACTTATACATAATAAATACTTAGCACTGCTTTCCGTTTCTATTCCCTCTCTGTAGTGTGATCTAATTCATGTAAATGTTTCTGGAAGGACTGATAAAGACCCCTAAAGGAACAGTTTTATCCAGTTCCACTGAGAAGTGTATTTACTCTCATCATCTAGGTGTATATCATGTCAATTTAGGGTTTTTAAAAGATGTAATTGTGGTGGGATTGTTTTTCCAGAATGATACAACAAACAAAATCAGAGTACGTTTTTTGAAAACGCGGACCCAGGTACACTTGGGAATCAAGCTAAAGCTGCAATCGGTGACTCTTTTAAGTTTTAGCTAAAGCAACAGTCTTAACTTTATTTAATGGACCACTTAGACTGTATAGCATCTTTGTAGTAAACTGAAAGGACAGACTACTGATGCTTCTACACCGATGGCTCACAAAGCAATTACGCCACACAGAAAACCCAGACGTTCCAGAGTTTAAACAAATGTCACACAAGAACACGAAACTCGGTCATCACGACAGACCGGACCAAACAAAAACTTGTGAATTCAAGAGTCAACAACATCAAGAAGAGAATTGGGAATGGGAACTCTTGTTTGAGGAGAAACAATATCCATCCACGTTAAATTACTGGGAAAATAAAAAATAAAAAAATCAGTCTGCTTTGCTCACCATAGACGCCTGGAGGAAACTGAATGCCCTTTGCCCATTTAGATCTGTCATGAATTCATCCAAAACAGTCCATATCATTGTAACCAAATATGGCAAACACATCCAGGGCTGAGAAACAGTATATACTTCTAAATCATTTTGAAAAGGGGAAAATAATAATCTGCTCAGAGTTTGTCTATCCTCCTGACAGCTGATTTTGTGTCCTGGAACGTCTTTGACCAGTGACGGTAAACTGATCCTTCTAACCAACATCCTTTCCTCTGAGGACGACGGTTTGGGTCAGACGGTTGACACTTGGCAGCAGTGCTGGCAAACACACATGAAAGCTGGCTCTGAGATGGACATAGCTGGCTGAAATGTAGTTTCTGTAATTCCTCTGATGTCAGCCTGTCCTAAATTTACAGTCTGTGCTTAAAAGCCAAATCATAGGGAACCAACTATTTTAAATGAACTCTACTTTCCTAATAATAAGATAATGATCAGCCAAATAGCAAGCCAGAAGTTAACCACCACATTCCTAACAGCTACACCAAGTGAGACATTTATCCAGGGTATTAGTGATGATCTCTGGATTACAGATCATGTAGAAGAAATTTAAACATAGGCACTAAAATGTTGTGATTTAAAATAATTAAACTGTTTGTTGTTTACTCATTCACCATTAAAATAAATAGTTTAAATACATCTTTAAAATCTTTAATTTAATGTGATTTTAATATACAAGATGAGTTTATGTGAACTCCTCACTGCCCTTCATCTCATTAACCTTCAGGCATAATAATGGACGTTTTGGTCCAATTGGACAACTTTTTTTTACCTCTGCAAGTGGACATTTTTGTCCTCAATGAGTTCCAAGGACAGAAAATGAAACTGACATGTTGGTTAAGGATCCAATTAAAATGATTTCCTAAGTCAGATTAATTAGGGATCAAAATAAATGATTGTCATACAAACTCCAGACCTGCGTTATGTACATCGACAAGTTATCTGTGCTTTTGTATTCTCCCGTTCCTTCAAATAATGTCGCGGTCAAGTCTAAAAACCAACATATGCCTCGTCTGCAGGTGGTCACAGCTGGACCCCCTGTCTTACCATTTCTGAATCCATTTCACAAAGAATATTACAGAGATCTGAGCTTGCTGCGCGATATTTCCCATTCTGTCTCATCAGTGGCAGGAATGATGTCTGGCATGGCAAACAGAGTAAGTGTAAGCTCCCTAAATAAAGCATGAAATTGACAGGATGCCTGTCTAAGTGAGGAAAGCACAGAGCCAGCAGCCCCCCGAAGACGCACGCAGGTACAGCTGCTCACCTCCAGGCGTCACGCCTCCCATTTGGACTTCCATTAAAGCACCCGCCGTTCTGAGTCAACACTTTTAATGCAGAAAATGACTTTATTTTCCATTATAATATCTATATTTTAAAAAATCTGCCAACACAAAGAGCTGCTCGGCTTTTCCACCTCTCCACAGAGGAATTTGCATACATTGGGCTTCTAAAGACACAACATTTTTTTTTTACCAATTTCAGAGGCTTGGCCATGGTTGTGTTCAAGTGTGGGATAAAAAAAGTCTGAGCAATTTCCTTCGCCACGAGTCTGCTTTCAAAACCTTGTTGGGAAAACTCGACACGTAGCACATTTACACCCTGCAGATGATTTGGTGACTGACGTGTATACTGATGAAGATTTATGTCTCTAGATTCAAATGTGAGCGTACGGCTACGTGTGCGTCTCATTGTGCAAAACAGAAATTAGGTGCAAGGCACATTTCAGGAGACTCACCGGGGAACTGGTAGCTGTAGCTGGGTGCAAATCCAGTGTATCCACGGCCATACGTTGCCACGATGTTAGGGTAACCTTTGTTGAGGAGAAAGATGGAAAAAAAAAGTTAAGAAAAGAGCTAAACGTTACCAAATAATTACAGAAAACACTCTGTTATAGTGTGATAATAAATAATACATTGTACAGAGCGTTTCAAAAAGTGCCATACTTCATCTATTTCCAGATGCTGGATTGAACGGCGTTCAGGATATTCTTTAAAAATCTAATTCTGCTTTAAAGTTCTCCACAGCTCGACCTGCCTGGAGAGTTTTTTTGGTCTTCATGATGCTTTTGATTCGCTAATTATGTCAAACGAGCTTTTGAAACTTTCACAGAACAGATTTATACTGAGACCAGATTACACACAGGGGATCTGTATTTAGTAATTAGGTGTTTTCTAAAGGTCATTAGTTTAATCTGAGTTTATTAATGGGCTTGAAAGTAAAGGGGGTGAATGAAACCAATCAGATTTTTACACATTTTTCTTCCAATCTAAAGTTAAGTGATGCATGTTGTTATTTTATCACATAAACTCCCAATAAAGAGCATTGAGAGTTGTCGCAATGACATGACGAAAACGTGGAAAAGTAGAACGAATACTTTAGAAGGGCACTCATCCAGTCCAACGCAAACAATCTATAACTTTAGAGAATCCGAGTTAGACTGAGCCCTCAAATTCATTTAACTCTGCAAAAGAAGTTTTCTTATCACCCTTAAACAACAACATGCCTGAAATAACAGGGCCTCACATTTGGGACTGTCACACCTCTTGAATACAAAGTCTAGAGTCGTTTCCCTTGTTCGAAAAGTAGCAATAAGCAAGGAGAGATTTATTTGTGTGCTTTAAACCTAATAAAGCCTTGTTGACTGAAAAGCATTCTCTGTAAGCAGAGTTTAACAACAAGCAGCTCCCTCAATCACTGGTTGTCTTTCACAACTGCGTCAGCCTCTAATCACGATCATGCTGCTTTTGTTGCTTCGGATGAAGTCTCGGGGCTGCTGTCAGAGATCTCAGTGATTCATTTAGTCGGTAAAATTTTACAAGGATAGCTATAAAACTGGAGCCTACCCTTCTCTTTCAAGAGAGGAAAATATGATCATTTCAAATCCAACCATTACGAACTGCTTAAATTCCACACAATCTGTCAAAAATGCACCCATTTAGTCGACAACCGTCAGAACGGGTTGAGATGTTTTTCTGCTTATGCATTCTCGTCTTCATACGTGGTTTTTTTTCTTTTTTTTTGGTTTACATCTTTATAGAGGCTGGTAATTGGGAGCTGGCGTCAGATTCGCTACGGTTTGAAACCAATGTACAAATACGACTACCCTTTTCTTTTTTAAATGGCAAGTTCATTTCCAGTCTTTTGTTAACCACAAGCTCTCAGGCATTTTTATAGCACCATGTAATAACATTTTATAGCAGGCTCCTGGAAATGATGACACCCATTTATGTTCCATCTTCACCATTGCAGAAAGGTTCATTTTTAAATATGGATAGATATTTTTTTTAGACATAAAAGCACCTAAAAGCATAACATTTAGATATAATTTAGTTTTATTGGTTGAGTCAATGTTGTGCCATTAATTAAAATGAAATTACACAATGTTTTTTTTTTCCCCTGGCAGATCTGATATAAATGTTAGCGGGGTCACCAGCGCCTTATTTTATGTTCATAAGCCAATCTGTTCAGAGAAACATCGAATGAGAGCATCTGGCTTTGGCAAAAACAACTTAATGGATTCTTTTTAAACACTTTTTTATTTTTAGAACAGGCAAGACACAGCTGGGGATGCAATGATCATAAAGCCAAAGCTTTTTGTCAAATAACGCCAGATAACCTCTCCTACCAAATCATAACCGGCGTTCAGACCTATTCACAGTGATGCTAGTAATACCGTTGTCGCAAAGACAAAAAGAAAACTTTTTTTTTTCTTTTTCAATGGGACACTTTTTTTAATCTATCCTGAAGTATAAACCTCATGAGATCATTTTTACTAACCAAAAAAAAAAAAAAAAAAAAAAAGGCAATACAGAATATAGAAAGTGTGTTTGAAGTGCATGAAAAGCAAAGTGTGTCCATGCTGATTTCTCTACAGGCGTTAAGAGGGAATGTCAGAGCCAGGTGCAACTAATAAAATGCTTAATTGAATCAAATGTTTAATTGATCATTATAGTAAGTGTGACCACCTCTGAAAAAGTAGGAATTTTTTTTACAGTCCGCTGGTCTGAAGCATTCAGGTGTGTCCACAGAAGGCCATCGAGGAAAAAAAAAGCAGCAATGGTCTTAAAATTCACGACTGGTTCAGTTCATCAATGAGTTTTAATTACATTTTCTGACAATTGAAATACTCATCATTTTACACTTGAAGACACTCAAGGTTTTAAAGAACCACAGTTTTGTTTCTGTTTTTCTGTTTTTGAAAACAATAATTTTAAAAGTAAAAAATGCAACAAAAAAAGAAAAAAAGCATGAATACATTTTCTTCAACAGGATTTTGATATCTGTGGATTGAAAAAAATGATGGATTAAAGACGAGATGGAAACTGTCTTTTGGATCTAAACAATATCACTGGTGCTTTTAGTTTTTGCCTGTTGTGGAAGTGAAGAAAACACTGATTCAAAACCTTTATTTGTTTTTATAACTACATGTACAAATTTTAGTTGGGTTGATGAAAACAAGGCAGAGGACATTCCGAGTTAACTCTGAGTTGCTGGTGGTTTTACTTTATGTAGGTATTTTTTATACCAAGTGCAATGATTACAATGCAAATCCCACTACAATTACAATCAAGGTAGACTGACAAATGTTCACCGATTAAAGTGAAATCTGGAGGAAACTTTAAATGACAAAAATTCTGAGCGTTTCCTATTCGCTAAAACACACCCAATATGTGAATGCATAATTGAACTAAAATCTGTTCTGAGTGAAAGCGTCACCAATTCGAAAACGTATGATTTGTTTGGTCAGACTCGGATAGTGAGCATAAAACCTTTCAAATGTTGACAAATGTGACTCGACTGTGTTGTCTGTAAACCAAAGTCTCTGATGAGAAATCCCTGGGCGTCCCAACGAGGACAAAAGAGGAACTGGTGTCATTAGAAATATTTAAGAGCAGCAGATGCATTGTTCATCTGCTGTCATGATTCTTATTACGACCACAGACCAACCAGTTAATTAGCTGGACAGTTTTCAGACAGAAGCAGCTGTGGGCAACATATTGGGAGAGGATGTGAGGGAGCAGCCATCGGATACAAGAAAAACAAGAAATGTGAGAGGAGTGAAGGGGTGAGTTAGTGAGCCAGCGTGAAAGTCGCAGAGGATGGGAGCATCATCAAGGGTAATATGAACATAATTAACCCTTCTGATTATGAAATGTGTGTTAGTCTTTATTTGTTTTCCTAAAGCCATTACCGCTACCAATGATTTTTTTCTGTACTAAACTACTGGGAAAGGTGCAGTACTTAAAGGTGCAGTATGTAACTTTTATACACTGCTCAAAAAAATAAAGGGAACACTCAAATAACACATCCTAGATCTGAATGAATGAAATATTCTCATTGAATACTTTGTTCTGTACAAAGTTGAATGTGCTGACAACACAATCACACAAAAATCATCAATGGAAATCAAATGTATTAACCAATGGAGGCCTGGATTTGGAGCCACACACAAAATTAAAGTGAAATGTTCCCTTTATTTTTTTGAGCAGTATATATATATAAAGAAGAAATGCGCCGCTCCCGACCAAAAAACAACCAATCAGAGCCAGAAGGAGGGTCTTATCGCTGTCATGCAACACCATGTACTTGCTGCTAAATGTGCTAATGGCGGGAAAATAACTTACTGAAAAGTCGAAAATAGCAGTTTTAATCATTTCAGATGTTTACTTGAAAACAACTATGGTGATCATTGCTGCTAAAAAAACCATTTGCTACTGCAGCATTATTGCACATTTTCACTGAAGCAACCTTGAAAGAGCTTTAAAACACCTCTTTAACTTCCACACGGCTTTTTACAGACCAAACAGCAACCAGTCTAAATGTAGAACCACTGAGCTGAATTGAATCACTGAGAGAAAAATAACACTTCCAGCTGTAAACCAGAAAATGCTGCCCAGACTTGTTTTTACCAATGTTCATCTTTTTTTGTTCCATAATTATCCTAAAAGGGAACAATTGGACAATGACAACAATGAATTCATTAGGTGCCAAACTCAAAGTAGTACTGGGTATACATCCAAAGTAGATTATCACTAGAGAGGATATTGTTAATAAATCAACAAATGCTCAGATGACTTAACTGTCTGTATGCATTGGTTTTATTTGCTGAAATGATTATCATAGATATCAGATTGAACACAAAAGTAGTTTTAACCATCACAAAGTTTTGCCCCATTACAAAAGTAGCTTCAAATCCACTAAATCTTTTTAATCCACTTTTTAGACTTATGTTGTCACAAATGCTCCTTTACAACAAAAGTGTTCTACTTTTCAATCCCAATCAGGGTCTATTTGTTGTTCTCCATGTGCCTGCAGTGATTCTTCAAGTTCTTCCTCGCACCATCCAAAAATATGAATGTTAGGTTAATTAGTCACTCTCCAGGTGTGCAACCTCTCAGCAATTAACCACTGTAAATACACAGCAGCCCCCCCACAAGATGGATGACTAAATGCATGGACGGCTTTACTTTATTTAATGCTAAATCGAAAAGACAGTCTCTAGTTTCTCATCGGTTTGAAAAATACCAAACAAATGCGATAAACATAAAGAGTGCATTTATTGTTTAGAGAAGCATTGTGAAATCAGCTAGAGCCTGGGTTGGGCAATTTTCAGCTTGAAGCTGCAGTATGTAACTTTTACCAAAAATATGTATTTGTTAAAGCTGTCACTGTCTTGTGACAGTATAGTATAAGACAGATGTGTGAAAATAATTGAGCTCCCCTGCCTCCTCTCAGTGGTCCTGTTGCCGCCTACAAAATTGCCCCGCTCCCAGTCAGGAAGAACCAATCAGAGCCAGGGGGAGGGTCTTAGTGCTGTCAATCATGCTCAGTTTAACGCGTCCACAGTGATTTTGTGTTTGTTTTAAAATACTAATATATATTAGTAAAACCCTATTTTATACAAACTTCTCTCCCACACAAGAGGTAAATAATGAATATTATTAGAAAAATACTATTGAACTGTCTACTAGCACATGTTATTTATAGAGCATTTATTACAAGACCCCTAATGTTCTAGAAGTTTGCCCAGGGGTATGAGATGCACGCCTACAAGCACATTTCTGCAGCATAAAGGTGTCCATAAATGCATGAAAAATATATTTAGCATGTCTGGGCATTTTTCTGCGCGTATGCAGGATATGTGAATGTTCGAGTGCGAGCATGTGTGTAGGCTCTGTTCTGTATGCTTCGTGGGCTGTGCCAGCTGGAATCAGAAAGGTTGACCTTGGTCATAAATATCTAATCAGTGTTTGCTGTCCATGAAAAAGTTCAATTTATTCCTGACCCAATGGGAAAATGCCTCAGCCAGAGCCTCTCTTGCAGACAAAACGAAATTCAACTCTGAGAGGCGGTGAGGGGAACCTTAACCTGGTTTGGATGAAGTAGGACAGAGGCATCGCCTGAGAAAAAAAATAAATAAGAAAAAAAAAAAACAGTTCTCATCATCTGCTGATGAGAAGTCATCACCAGGAAGTTACAGATGGATAGTTCTCACAAAAAAACAACAACAAAAAAACAAAAACCCTCATTGTTTGTTTGGTCTGAAAAGAACCGCGATATGGTACAATGAAAAGCCATCACAGCCAGCAAAGTATTGGATATTATGTGTTTGATACTGTCTTACTGTCAAACTGAATAAGTGCCTGACTGAAATTGTTGGCTCAAATACCACTGCTCTTGATTCTTCCTTATTTCAACATCTTGTGAAATGAAAAAGAAAAAAAAAAAAGAAGCAGCATAGATTACAAGAGGTAAAAGCAGAATTTGAAGCCATATGGATGCAGTGTAGAGAGGTTTTGAGGTACACTGAATGCATGCTGAAAGTGCCTGCATGTGTAAAATAGCAGAAAGGCAGCCGGGAAGAAATCGTAAAAGAAAGAAAAGGCAGGGGATAACTTGTTGTTTCACTTAATGAAGCTTGCTGCTGTGCCTGGCCTTGTGGCGGCCTCTTAGTGCTCTTATTTGCCTTATTAATATGCATGCTAATGTACCTATTTTATGGCCCAACAGTTCTGATTCACTTTAAAATCAATTATCCATCTGGTACACCCATACCTCGCGCAGGCTCAAATGTGTATTAATTTCAGCAAACATACATCGGCACAACACAATAAAGATAAATGCCTCGATTAGAGGCAGTAAACAAAGGAGCTGGGGATGGCTTTAATGAGATTTGGCACAAAAGGAGCTTACACTTTCTTAAATAATGAGCCTAGGGTCCCTTTTTCCAAATGCAAATTATATAAAGGAATGTTTCGCTGTCCTTGTTCCAATTTCATTTAGATAAGAGTGTCTCCAAACAAGTTGGCTGTTAATATTCTCACATGAGCACATCACTGCCTTTCTGCCTGGCATCTCCCAGCGGAGGGGGAAGAGTGCTCTCTGCGGCGCAGACACTTTAGTCTGTAATAAGTTCTGAAAAGTTCACTGTGCTTGTTAAATACGTCGACCAGATGAGATGGAGCCGAAAACGGAGCCGAAAACGACAGACGCACTCGGCTGGACTTGTCAACTGTTTTACCACCAACAACTGTATAATCACTTTCAAGGAAAGGTCAGGCCTGCGGTTGCCGTGACAATTTAAGTAACTTTATGCAGAGAAATGACGAGATCAATGCATAGGCGGAGAGTTGATGGAATTAATTTACTGCCTTTGAGAGCACAACTACTGATGTTTTAAGTCGTTGCAGAACAAGGAGAGGAAGCGATTTTTTTTTTTCTTTCAGTAAATTATTTGGTCACTGAAATAATTATTCTAACGTTTATTTTGTGACTTGTGCATTAACTTAAATCTTAAATTAGTTCTTAACAACAGCTGTGTTTTACATTAATGTTGTGCATGAGCACTTTAAAAGCATCTTGCAAAGGTACAGATATGAAATGGCATGATATTCATCCCTATGATGAACATGTACAAACATAATCTGCATGTAACTTGGTGTGTATTTTCATAGCATTACATGTTGGGTTCCCTTTGTGAAAAAATGAGAAGAAATAGCTTAGATTTTATTTAAACATAAAGTTTGACAAAACAAGAGCTAATCAGTATTTTAGACTAACCAAATGAAATTGTCACCTGGATCATTACTGTAACAGGTTATGAAAATAAATGTAGCTATGGGTTAGCCATGCGTGACAGTTTCCCCCCCCCCTACCTGTATTTAAAGATATTACATGAATCCTTATTTAAAAAAAAAAAAAAAAACTAAACAACTACATTTTAAATCTGTCCAATATGTGGCAGTATCTAGAGTTGGCAAATAAAAATATGCAGGCGCCCTAGGTTTGAATCCATCTGCTTCATCAGGTGGGGAGGAACCGTTTGGAGAGCAATCATTTGCTTTTTATGGAAAAAAAGACTTTAAGTGATGGCAAATCCATTTGGTTTAGCCACACAATCAAATTATACGCATATGGAATGTGAACGACAAATAGATAGCCAGGTAGATAACTAGACAGACAGACAGATAGATAGCCGGATAGATGGGAGGTGAGTACGGGGGCAGGGAGGCAGAGAGTGCATCGGTGTTAAATAAAAAGGGACACAGGCATGGGCTGGATGGTAATGAAGAGGGGTGGGTCAGCAGCTGAGGTCCCTGTAGATGAGATCTCTCTCTGACATGTGTGTCCCCTTCATTACCCATTAAGGGGGGCACAGTGATGAATCCTTAATATGACATTACACCAATTTTCCTCTTCATTTAGTCTGCTAATGTGCTGGTCTGCTCCTATATGCCCAGGGGCTGCCTGTACCAGACTCAACCCGAAATAGACCACAGTGGCCACTGGTGGCACACCTTGAAGCAGCCTAATTAGGGGCAGCAACCACCTAATAGAGCTTTTTAGATGGGGTAGTTTACTTAGTTTGTTTTACAATAGGTAGAACCTGATGCTTGAATGAGACACGCGTCGGCTATTCATCTGATTTTCTTGGAGAGATGTCTATCACTTGCATTTTATTATGTTCTAACAATGACGTATTCAATAGATTTTACTCGGACTTTATGGGATAGATCAATAAAAAAGTATGATGCAAGGAAAATAACTCATGGTCTCAGTTTATAAAAAACAATGGTGAGTATTCTTACTCAACACCTCTTTACTCTGATAACTCTAAATAAAATCCAGTGTATCCGACTGACTCCAGTATTCAATAAGTAATTTTTCAGTCCCTCTGAGATTCAAAACTTCTGAGGCAGCTAAGGTTATGCAACAATTACAAGTAGTTACATAATTAAAGTGCCCCACAAGTAATTATTAAAAACGGTCACAATTTAAAGAATTAATCTCCAGTGCTCTCAGTATGGACTTAAAAGTGCTCAGTGAAATAAGTCCAGTTAATTTCCAGTCTTTTTGCAACATGCTCCATGTAGATGAAGCTGAGTGAATGGTGTTTTTGAGCAGAGAAGAACTGATTGGGGTTGATGTGTAGATGGCCGGCGTTAAATGTGAAAACCTGCAAAATATTTGAGGCTAGGGTAGAGGGTTCATCCTCCAGCAGAAAAATGACCCTAAACATACAGTCTGAGCAGAATTTACATGTGACAGAATGGCCAAGTCAAAGTCCAGACATAAAGCCAGCTGAGGAACGGACACAAAATAACTCTGACTAAGTTTGAGATTTTATTTTGCAAAAATGAATGAATGGGAAAAAGCATACTTCAAAAGTTTAACAGCTATAACTGCATCTTTTTCCTTCCACTTCACAATGACGCACCACCTTGACTTAGGCTTCCACATAAACATCTCCACAAAATACAATAAAGTTTGTGGTTGTGATGTGAGAACATGTGAAACAGCTCAGAAAGTGTGTGCTTTACTGAATCCAACTCACTCAGCATGCCCATCCCCAGCATGAAGGCATCCATGGTGTAGGGCAGACCCCGGGCTCGCCCTCGCGTACCTGGCGGGAACATCACCTCCTTGGGCTGGGCCTTCTTACATTCTACCTATGTACACAGACAAACACACACAAAGACAAACCATTAGACTGTGTAGGTACACAAGACGACAGATCTGACAGGGCTGTCTCAGCTCTTAAAGCTGGTTTCTGTCTGACTCACACACAGCTAGATGTTTTCCATGGGAGAGAGAGAGAGAGAGACAGGAAAAAACACGACTAAGTCAATCTGAGCTGCTCACATTTTAGAGGAAAGACTCCAAGGAAAACTTACAATCGTGCTCCTCCTGTATTAAAGCAAAGGTTATTGCTCCAGTGAGCATGTACCCGGAGCCTGGGGGAAATACAAGCTAAAGTCTTTTCAGAGTTTTGAGACATCAGAGCAGGAGAAGCTCCGTTTCTACTATCCTCTCAGTCGCAGACTTTTCTTTCTTAGAAGTTAAACATCATAATCACCAAAGAAGTAATAACTGCAACAATAGATGTAATTCAAGCAGCGCTTCACCCAGTAAAAAAAAAAAAGTTTTTTGTCTGCATTCCTAGAGTTGAAGTCCCCAGTGTCCCACCGCCTCATTCCACCTGCAGCACTCATCTCTTCCCTGCATTTATTCCTCTCACTCTGCCTCTCACACACATATACAGGTTTGCTCATTTTCCCATCTAGCAAGTCTGACATCCCCTCCTCCTACATAACACATATCAAATGAGGGATGTGACAGGGGCAGATGAGGGGAAGAAGAAAGATGAGAGTGCCATTTACCACGTATCCATCCTATCTGTAGGAATTACAGCAGCTGACGGCGTTGCCTCGGCCCCGTGTCTCTCGGTTGTTCTTTGGTAGGCTGAGTCCGTTCACCATCCTGCACAATCTATTTGCTCCACTGCCTGCTTGGCATCAGCCTGTCCATCTGTTTGTCTGTTTGCCTCCTGGCTCTTGCCCGCTTTCTCCCCACTGCCTCCACTTAAGCGGGGCTTTCTCGGCTGCCGTGATTCACATGTCATCCCGGCCTGCTGCACAAAGACAGGCTCCTGCACCGGTGCAGCGTGCGCATCAACTGAAGGTATAGCTCGGCACCCATATAAATAGGTCTGCATCTCCTGACAGGCCGGTGGTGAACATTATTATTCACACACAGAGCGGCAGGCGCAACATGCTATCGCAAGTTGCCAAACTGAAGAAATACTTCATGCCTTGAGAGGTTTTCCGTGCCGAATCGATAGAGTAACAAGCGCCGTACACTACATCCAGCCGAGAACAAGACATGTAAAAGGAGAGCGTTAATGAAAAAGGTTTCCATCACAGAGGGGGAAGTTGCTGTGTTGCAAAGCTGTGATTTGTTGCTGTTAGCGGGCCCCTTTTATTTGAAGCAGACCGACTAAAGTACACAGTTCCCTCAGCCACTTTGTAGCTGTCACAGCCACTCTGGCCTCCACGTTCGCCTGGTGCGCTTTGACATTGTGCTGAGGAGAACTCAGGCGCTCCCTATCGTCAAGAGAATGACCCCCGGCATGGAAGCGGGAGCCGGCTGCTGGGACGAAAGAGCGTGTTGGAAATCTCAGCGCGCTGCTGGGATTTTCATATGTTCACATGGCTGGGTGACAAATACGGTCGAGTTCCGCCCACGCCGCAGACGTGCTGCTGTCTGATCAGCCGTCCTCCTGTAACCCCCGCCACTTCCAGCGAGTTGGACGCTCAGGTGGCCTGCTGGGAGTTAAGACAGAGCCCCGCGTGTGAGTCATGCCTACATGCTCTCAGATACGAGTCTTTGATATTCAGAGCGAGGGCTCCTTGTCATGGATTTAAAAAAAAAAAAAAAACAGTCAGAAGCCAGGATCTGTGGTGGTGTGAGCGCGTGGGTGTTCACCTGCATCAGACAGAGAAGTGTGTGTGAGGGAGGCAGGCAGGAGCTTTCAAGAGTCAGCTAAGTTAAAGTAAAAAAAAAGGGGGGGGGGAGAGGAGGAGAAAAAAAGGTAGAGAGGACACGAAGACAATTCAGCGCCTGTCAATGAAAAGCTACAAAAGGCTCAGCAACTGTGAGGGCGAAGATTCAAATTTTGCCAAGTGGAAAGTTTTAGCGGCTGAACCTTGAGCAGCTTAAGAACACCGAGTGTACAGGTGTTGGCTTAAAATATTTCCAAGAATTATGGCTTGCTGAACTCTCAAGGACTCTGGGAATTTTTTTTATTTTTTATTTTATTTTTTTTTTTAAAGTCGTTGCAATAATGTGTTGCGAAAAGCGCCGAATCTGAACCCACAATACAAACATCAAGGTGGCATTGTGCAGTGTGTTTGCCCTGTTGGGAAAGCCGACACCCCATTAACCTGCCTTGACTTTCTAAAAATTTAGCAAAGGCAAAGAGTCTGGGAGCTGCAGGAGCCTCAAAACACACAGGTACAGATTTAAACCTTTCAGCCGTGCCGCGTTCACAAGTTCCAGCTATCTCAACCTAAGTGCTTCTAGCATAAACCGAAAGGGTGCTTTCTGTGCTGCACTGATATACAGCAGTAAAGCTAAAACAAATCTTTTCATTAAGGTATATCAGCCACTGCCTATGACTGCCTGCATGCAGGGGAAAAGCCTCCTAAAGGTAAGGCGTTTATTGGAGCAGATGTGTTGGTTAGACTTCGCTACATATAATTCAACTGGAGGCTTTAAATGATGTCTGAACAACTTGCAACACAGTTTAACAAGGGTATAAAATAATCCAAGCTGGCATCAGGCCCAAAACCAGTGTGTGGTATAAGGGGACAGATGTTGACATATAGGAGTCAGAGGGGTCCCCTGCTTGCAAATGCATGATATTTAAAGCATTTAGTAATACACATACCAGAAGAGTCAAAGATTTTTTTATGCTTACTCTAACAATTGTATATTTCAGATATGGATGAAGAAATCTGATTTGCAGTATCAAGCCTAACATTTTGGAGAACATGTCCCTTGCAAATTGATTTTTATTTGATCAGAATTGGAGATGTGCAGTTTGGCAGTGTCGAGGATTTAGATCATTTAGGTTTTCAAAGCTGGTAAAACTTTCCATTTGCACTGTTCTTATGGTTTAAAGTCCTAAAGATCTGAAAAGAGAAAACCAGAGCGTGACTCCTCCTAAGTTTACTGTGTCATATCTGGACTAAATCCAGATAATGAGGCAGGGAAGTGCATAAAAAATAGGGAAATGTTTAGATATTGATGTCTGATCTTATTTTTTTACACATACAAGATAAAGTAATTCACTTAAGGGTACACACCAAAAATGAACTCCTCTACAAAAACGTGTTTTCTTAATAATCTTAATCTTAATAGTAAGTTTTAGTTGCCTTTGTTTTAGTTTCAATGAAATGTTAGTTACAGCCATACAGTAACCTGACATCTATTTATATTTGAATTTTCTATGTTAAATATCCATTTGTGTAAATAAATGTTAACTTACAGTTATTGTAAGATGTCTTCATTTTTTTCAGAAGTTTTGATACATAAATACATATTTGAAAATGTACACGTTTCCTAAAATATCTTCTGATTTCTTGTTTTTAAAATAGTTGTAATTTAAGCTAACATTACTACTAGCTAACGGATATAAGCATGGCCTAAAAAGCATGAAGGAATTATACAACTTTTGTTTTTTAAATTTCAGTCTTTTTCTTTTATTCTGCAACAAAAAGAAAAACATAATTTAAACCTTTATTTTCAATATGTAACATCATTTTCCCAGGAATCAAAGCAGTTGTTATATCACTGTTTTAAATAAAAACCATTAGATCACATTATATAAACACTATGGCATCCTGAGTAGTGGTGTTTTTCCTTCATTTTGTCATACTCCGAGAATCTCATACATATGTGGTTCTCCGAAAGTTGGTTTTCTATATTAAACATTCAAGCTCTACACTGAAATTATTGCACACCCCAACAGGATTACTTTATGATAAATGTAATAAAAGCCCACTGCTGAAGAAATAAACAACCCTCCTTTGTTTTGACTGTACGAAAGCTACGACATAGTGGAGAAGCATGCCAGATATGACCTTTTCAATGCATCCCCCATCTATATTAACCTTGTAGGTAGAACGGAGAGGTGTGGGCGGGATGGACTGGCAGTGACTGTCCTTCAGGGACCAGCAATGTGGGTGTGGAGTGCATCTGTGTGTGTGTGTGTGTGTGTGTGGAGGAGGAGGCGTACAGCTGCTATTAGCTTCACCAGTGAATGAATTCCATCAGTCGACTGGCAGACTGGAGAAAAGGAAACGGTGTGATTCATTTACTCCCAGCTGAACAGTCAAAACACAGAGTGCGTAGTTAAGGACTGTCACAGCACTGACTGGCCAATGTCAGGCCTGGTGAGGATGAGATTACAGCTTAAAAAAAAAATAAAGTTTCAAACATCGTCTAACACTTTGGCTTTTCAAACACACACACAAAAAAGGAAAACTAAAAACGATTTGCAACAACTGACATTAAACCTGAAAATTCAATGTTTTTTTGACAAGATTTAAGACACAAACCGAAAGCCAGTGAGTTTCAATAGATCCTCTGGTCAGCAGACTCCTTGTTCTTTATGAAGACTTTAACCATGGTCAGTAAAAAAACAAACAAACAACAAAAACAGGACAATTGAGGGATCCAAGATGTATGACGACGATGACAAATTTTAGAAAAAGCAAAACGACGCCATCAATGGCGAACAATCTCAGACGAATCATTACGGTGACCATCTCCCTGCATGGTTACGGCATATAAGAGGTAAAGGATATGGGGTCATTTTCAGGCCATGTGCGCCCCGTGGTGTTCGCTCTCCCCCTCTTACCACGCTCTTATATTGCAAAATAATATTGGCGATATCCACACTAAGAAGCACATTCAGAAGTAGCACCATGATCATCAGGTTGATGTCAAATGGCCTCCATCACTTCCTCAATCAGCAGATTTGAACATCTCGGCGCTTTTATGGGACATCCTGGTGAGCGGAGTGCAAAGTGGATTTCCACTTCCTTCATCCCTCAAAGCTTTCCTTCTTCAATGAAGGGTAAACATCCAATTACTTACAGTCCAG